AAAAAAAATGTCTAAAATGCAAACACAAAAAAAACTAAAACTACTTGATAACTCAATTAGTCCTTATATTTTCAGCCTCAGGGCAGCTCAACAGGAGAGTTAGCAATGTCACTTTCGTTTTGTTTTCTTTTCCAGAACTAGGAATTGAACTCCAGGCTGTCACACTGAGCTACATACCCATACTCTTTCATTGTTTTATTTTTAAATTTTGAGATAGGTCTTCCCTAAGTTACTAAATTGCCCAGGCTGGCCTTGAACTTGAAAACTTCCTGCCTCAGCCTCTCAGGCAATGTTGTTTCATTTGTAATCACACACTCCAAATGATGCAAGTCTAAGATTATTCATTGGTACATTGCTTGTAATAATGAAAGATTGGAAATAACCTAAATTCCCCTTCATACTGAACCCACTGGTTAAATAAAGGTATGTCCTTGTAATAGAATATGCAGCCGTGAAATAGAATAGGGTAGTTCACTTCATTGGAGAAAGTTCAAATCATAGAATTATAAAATGGTTAGAGCAGCCATGCGTGGTGGTGCACGCCTGTAATCCCAGCACCTGGGAGGCTGAGGCAGGTGGATTTTTGCGAGTTTGAGACCAGCCTGGGTTACAAAGTGAACTCAAGGCCAGCCTGAACTGCATAGTGAGACACTGTCTCGAAAAGACCAAAAGAAAAAAAAAAATGGTTAGAGCTGAAGAGATTGTTGTTTTGTTCTGTTTGTCTTTGCATGGTGTTGGGAATTGAATCAGGGCCTCATGCATGCTAGGCAAGCACAGCACCACTGAGCTCTACAGCCAGCCCCATGAAGCATTCTTAAAGATTATCTAATTCAACCACTTACAGGAAACAAAGGAAATGACTTGTCTGAGATCATCCAGTCAGGGCTGAGGCTGTAATTTAGGTGTCCTCCTGCCTACTCCTCATGGCTGCTTCCCCAAGGCCATGCTTCTACTTATTAACCTGTTAACCTCTGAAGTGCCAAGGAATGTAAGGTGCTCATGGCTCCACCATAATGGACAGCAGGGTAAAAGACGCCCACTATGATACTCACTTACACCATATATTTTGCATTTCCCTTCTTTTTTGTGCTGGGATTATAGACATGCACCACCTTGCCCAGCTCCCTTGCTTCTTAAAAATGTAAAGGTCTGTTTCTGTTCACCACACAAGGTGTAAAAGCTGATTGGTTTTAGCCAAATTAGCTGATACAATAGCGTAGAAACTCCCATGGACATTTCCCTCAGAAACAGACTGTGGTTTTCCTGAAAATAATTCTAAGTACAGTATTGAACATTTACCATAGGAAGGAGAATGTTGTTTGTAGATAGTATTTCTAAAGTTTTTCTGAAACTTTCTGACCCTTGATACAAGGAGAGTCTAATACCCTTTAGTGTGGATGTCCATTCCACACTAGAGGTATGTCTGCCTATCTTGCTCGCTCCAAGTTAATTTGGGCGAGGCCAGGCATGATGGTGCACACTGGTAATCCCAGCACTCTGGAGGCTGAGGTAGGAGAATCGCCGCAAGCTCAAGGCCACCCTGGGCGACACAGTGAGTTCAAGACCAGCCTGAACTATATGGTGAGACCCTGTCGTAAAATTTTTAAAAATGAGGGGGCTGGGGATTTAGCTCAGTGGCACAGCACCTGCCTGGCAAGCACAAAGCCGTGAGTTCAATTCCAGGTACCGGAACCCCGCCCCCCAAAAAAAGTTTTTTTTAAAATGAGGCAAAGCAGAGGTAATTTTCTATTCCAGACAACACGCCCCTTCTATAGGTCTCCTGCTCCTGCATTGTCCTATCACACTGTAGACATGGGGAATTCCCAAAATGCTAGTTTGCCTTTATGCAAGCTTATTGATTTATATAACTTCTGACAGCAGTGTGTATGTGCAGGCCCCCGGATCCCGTAAGGACTTTTGTTTTTGTTTCTGAAAAATGTTTCAGTGGGTAGATAACTGTTTCTACTCCACAATCCACCTGTTATCACAAACTACCAAGAAACATACAGGAAAAACACCTGCCTAAAATGAACCATCTGCCATGTTTCCTTCCATGCTGGGTAATTAAGCATCTGGCTACAATATGGTTTGATAAAAAAGGGTAGGGAAAAAAAAAAAAAAAGAAAAAAAAAAAAAAAAAAAGCTACAATATGGTTTGATAAAAAAGGGTAGGGAAAAAAAAAAAAAAAGAAGAAGGGTGGGAGTTGATCTTAAAAACTTTACCCATAATGAAGATCAGATCAATCCAGGACAGTTTAAAGATCTACCAGAATGAGACCAAATTCCTAGCAGTTACAAACATAGCTTATGTAAATGAAAGTAGATGGGGTTAAGATTCTCTCATCTCTTTTCTGATCCTAAGCAGTAAGCTAGACAAGAAAGCTTGCTTTGAATAAAGTTCCTGTGTTCATGTATCTCCTTGCTAGCCAGTGCTTGCTCTAGTTTAGGTAAAGAATCTTCCAAGATTTCCAGCTGAGCAGGTGGTGGTTGTTTTTGTTTTTTGTGGTTTAAATGCAATGCTAAAAAAAAAAAAAAAAGAAAAAGAAAAAATGCAGTGCTGGAGATCAGGCCCGGGGCTTTGCACAGGCTGGGGAAGCACCCCACAGTTGAGCTGCACCCATAGCCCAGCTGAGTGGGTCTTCAGGTGAAAGATGTTATGTGCTGTGAGACCTCAGTGTGTAAAGAACAGAAGATGAGGGGCTGGGGATTTAACTCAGCAGCAAAGCGCCTGCCTGGCAAGCGCAAGGTCGTGAGTTCGATTTCTGGTACCGGAAGAAAAACAGAACAAAACAATAACAACAAAAAAGAACGGAAGATGAGGAGGTAGTGTTCATACCAGAAGGCTTCACCTAAGCTGACCAATAGTGACTTTGGACTTCTGTGGGAATGAAAACCCTGTGCTGGAGATAATGATAGATGTTCCTGGCTGAGGATGTTTCTCAGTGGCATAGCACCTGCCTGGCAAGTGGGAGGTACTGAGTTCAATTCCTGGTACAAAAAAAAAAGGGATTCTCAATGATAGGTGTTTCTTATTTAGGAAACTGGGGACAACAACCAGTTCTGCTGGCGGAACCTCTTTTCTTGCATCAATCTTCTGAGGCTGCTCAATAAACTGACCAAATGGAAGCATTCCAGGACCATGGTGAGTGGGGCTCCCAATCATGGGGGTGTCCATTTGACTGAATTCTGTATCCACTAGTAAATACTTGTGGACTGCCTGCTTTGTGAGAGCTGTACAATGCTGTATAAGTTTTATCATCTCCCAACTCTGGGCATTTATTCTAAATAAGATGATTGCATACCAGTCTATTTCTATTCAGGGATAAAAATCAGACATAAAAAAAGACATAGAATAGTGTGATACAATATGTAACTGGCTGTTGCTCAGGTTAAAAAGCAAAAGTTCTATGTGCATACATAGAATTATGTAGAAGAAACATAAGAAATTGCTAATAGTGGAAGTGGGATGTACGACAGACAAAAATTCTGTCCTCCTTTATCCCACATACCTTAACATTAGAAACACTGAAAAAAATAAATTCTTAGGGGCTGGGGATTTAGCTCAGCGGCACAGTGCCTGCCTGGCAAGGCACAGGGTTTTCATTCCCACAGAAGTCCAAAGTCACTGTTGGTCAGCTTAGGTGAAGCCTTCGGGTATGAACACTACTTCCTCATCTTCTGTTCTTTTTTTTTGTTGTTTTGTTTCTCTTCCAGTACCAGGAATCGAACTCACGATTCCCGGTTCCAGGGGAAAAAAGAAAGAAAGAAAGAAAGAAATTCTTGATTTTTTTTCTTTGTTTTGTTTTTATTTTTATTTGTTTTTCCCTTTTTGAGACAGGGTCTCACTATGTAGCTCAGCCAGGTCTTGAACTCACTGTGTAGCCTGGGCTGACTTTGAACTCAAGGGAGTTCAAAGTTCCTCCTGCCTCACCCTCCCAAGAGCTGGGATTACAGACATGGCCACCACACTCAACCCTAGTCCTTTCTTTTTTGTGTGTGAGACATGGCCTAAGTTGCCCAAGCTGAGCTCGAATTTGCAGTCTTCCTGCATCAGTCTCCCAAATTGCTTGGAGTATAGACATATGCCACCATGCCTGGCTTTATATATTTTTAAATACTAAAGCCTGGATTTTATATCCCCAAAAGCTCCTGAAGGGTATATAAGCCTAGCCAGGTGTGTGTTCCTTTTTTTTTGCACTTTTTATTAGTACATGTTTATAGTATATAATGATTACATTCCTCAATGTGGAGTTGGTACATGTACATAACACATCTTAATTCTTTTTTCATTCTTTCCCCTCCTCCCTCCCAATTCTCTCTATCTCTTGGTCTCCCATTTGCAAAAGATCTTGTTCCCTATCTCCTACTATCTTTTATTTTGCTTTTTATTTATATTTTAGACTTCTCATATAAGAGAAACCATGCAATATTGAAGCTTGTATGCCTATTTATTTCACTTAACATTATAGTTTAAAGGTTTTTGTACAAATGATTCAAATCATTTTCTTACAAATGATTCAAATTTGTTCATCTTTACACTCTGTGTATAAATACCACATTTTCTTTATCTGTTCATCTGTTGATGGACATATAGGCTGTTTCCTAGATTTACCTAGTATGGATTATACTGCTATAACCATGGATGTGCAGGTTTGTCTTTATGTGTAAGATGGAAATTCCAAGACACTCTACATCTTTAATAGGCCTTTCTTCACCCTCACCCTTAATCACTGGACAGATGCTGGTAGTGTTTAAATCAGCTCCAATCTTAAAGCGGGCCCTCAAAGTCAAACAGGCCATGCTGCAACTTTATGTCTTGAAGTTGCTAAAGATGCAGACCAAGTACCTGGGACGCCAGTGGAGGAAAAGCAACATGAAAACTATGTCAGCCATTTACCAGAAAGTGCGCCACCGCATGAACGATGACTGGGCTTATGGGAATGGTGAGTATTCCCAGAGCTCTTGACTTCCAAGAATTGCCTGGGGTCTAAGCAAAACTAAACAAACATCTATCTCTACTTTTTTGATGTAAATGTTTTAGATTAAAAATATGTGATTGGGGCTGGGGATTTAGCTCAGCGGCATAGCACCTGCCTGGCAAGCACAAGGTCGTGAGTTCAATTCCTGGTGGTGGGGGGGACAAAAACAAAACACCAAAAAAAAAAAAGTGATTATAAGCACCTGCCTGGTAAGCACAAGGTCCTGAGTTCAATTTCTGGTACCAAAAAAAAAAAAAAATGATTATAGATTAGATGTTGTTACATTAAATTTAATGTAATACCCCAAATTCTAGCATGTATTTTGTCCAATGTATCTATGAAACCCACTTTATAAAACAAATCAGTTAATACTTTTAAAAAGCTAGAATAAAGGATACTGAATATTTTTACTACAAAAGATATGATGTTTGAGGAGATATGTTTAATCATCAAATTTACATAGTTGTGCCACCCAGAGATTGCCAATGTTAATATCTTATTGTATATTCTTCCAGATCTTTTGCTATGCATATTTCATTAAAATGAAAGGAATTAGTACATGCTACTTTATAACCTGCTCTTTTCAGTTAATATTATTTCTGCCTTTCCATGTCAATACATTTTCATTTTATATAAAATTAAGCCCCTATTCAGAATTCTCCAGTTATCCCAAAATGGTTTTTTTCAGCTATTTTTCCATGTTAGAATCTAATTTAGGACCATCTGGTTGTTATACACATTAACTCATTTTTGATCTAACACCCCCCATACACTAGTTGAAGAACCTGGCCAGTTGTCTTCCTCCAGGATTTGTTAGTGTGTTTCTTTGTCGTGTCATTGACCTTATTCCTCTATCCATGGTATTACTTAGAAGCTGAAGGTAAAATCTTGAGGTTTGTTGAATTTAATGTAAACCTTTATGGCGTAATGTTGGGAGCTGTATATTGCCTGACATCAGGAGCCATAGTATCTGTTTGATCTAGAATTTATGCTAATTTTGACCAGAATTTAGAGAGCTTTTTCATTGTATTTGTTATCATTGGAATTGACTGTGATTTTCATAATTGGATTTAATAATTTTTAAGGTAATTAATGACTTGTGTTTGCTCAGGTTTGTAATCTGCTTGAATTTTACAGCATTTAAAGAGCTTAAAGAACTAAGGAGAGTTTAGAGAACTAAGGGAAATATATGACTGGCATATAACAAGCCAGGATGCAAGTTCTACACAATATAAAGTACAATTAGCTATTTAAATTCCTGAGAGCTTTTAAAGCATAAAACTTTTTTGTTTGTTTTCTTTTGGGGTTTTTTTCTGTGGTACTGGGGATTGAACTCAGGGTAGTATACCTGCTAGGCAAATACTCTACCACTGAGCTATACCTTCAGCCCTTAAAGCATAAAATGTTTTGTCTTGTAAATGATATATTTGTTGCTAAAATTATGAGCCTAACCCCAAACTATACTTTTTTATGATAAGCCACAGAGTATAGGACAGCAGAGATGCTGGAAATTTGTATCTCCAGCCCTGAAATAGATGTCTAAGTGCATGACGCAAAGCAGATTATGTTTTCTGTTTTTACCTGCATGGAAGCCTTCAGCTCATAATCTTAAAAGATGGTAATAAAGGCCAGATTGGTGGCAAAGGCCTGTAGACTCACCACTCTGGGAGGCTGAGGCAGGAGGATCACTACAAGGTGAAGGCCAGCCTGAACTGTACTGTAAGACCCTGTCTCAAAAAAAAAAGTTCAAGCCTATTCTGAGCTACTTAGGGACTGTCTTGCCTACTTTTCTCATTGCTGAGACAACATACCCAACACCCAATGTTAAAGGAGGGAAGGTTTACTTGGCTCACAGTTTGTAGAGGTTTTGGTCCATCATTTGTTGGCTCCAAGGCAGGGCAGCACGGCAGAGGAGAAACAGTTCATGATGGACAGAAGGCAGGAAGGCAACAAAACAATTAAGTAGAAAGGAAGCAGCAAGCGATGACAGCAGCCCTCTTTCTGTGCCTTATAGTCTATCCAGGGGTCTTGGGTACTTTCCTCTCTTTGCCAAGACAAAACACCCAAAATTAAGGAGGGAAAGGTTTATTTAGCTCACAGTTTGTGGAAGTTTCAGTCAATAATCAGCTAACTCCAAGGCAGGGTGGCATAGCACAGGGGCAACAAGAGCAAAAGGGGAAGCAGCAAGCCTCTTTTCCTCCTTTATATTGTAAGCAGACTGCCTGCCCCCAAGGGTGAGTGTAGCACTCACACCATCTCCGTGCCCTCCTCTTGCACAGGATGAGGATGTTTACAGAGTGAGGACCCTGGCTTCCTGCTGAGTTGCTTAGTTAAACTTCTCAACTTCTCAAGTTGACACAGTTTATCAACAATTACACCAGGCTACACACCCTTAGGTAGCACTCACACCCAGGGAGGTCCTTCCCATTATCCACACCCAGAATTATGCCAAACCAATCAGTGGACTAACTTAATAATCACACACCCTTGATCCCAGCATCACACATTTAATTCCAGCATCACACACTGTAGATCCAGCTACCTCTGAAAAGCCCCACCTATGACTGCATGAGGCTTCGGGCGGACATCTAGACACAAGCTATAATAGTAACTTACAGACACCCTATCTCAATAAATAAAAAATGGGCTGAGGATGTAACCCTGTGAAGGTGCTGGGTCCAATCCCCAGTACCACAAAACAAAAAACAAACATCAAAAACACAGACTTGTGATGTGGTGTGGGAAGATTCCACACAACTGTCAGAAGGATTGAGAAGGATAATTATTGAGAAGGATAATTCTGATCTTTATTGAGAAGGATAATTCTGATCAGTTTCATTGTTGGAATCCCATAATTCATGCTTGGTAGCAGGAGAGTGATGTCATCAGTTCTGTGCATCTTTTTCTTCCTCTCTTTCCAACACAGACATTGATGCCAGGCCATGGGACTTCCAGGCAGAAGAGTGCACCTTGAGGGCCAACATTGAGGCTTTTAATAGCCGCCGGTATGACAAACCCCAGGACTCTGAATTTTCACCTGTGGATAACTGCTTGCAGAGTGTGCTGGGGCAGAGGTTGGATCTACCTGAAGATTTTCACTATTCCTATGAGCTCTGGCTGGAGAGAGAGGTGTTTTCACAGCCCATCTGTTGGGAGGAGCTGCTCCAGAATCACTGACTAAGCTTTTATCAAGGAAGCATCTGATAGATGGAGGTTGGCTCCAATAAATGGTGCTCTGCCTACCCCACCCATCCAGCCTGTGCTGCCTGCCTAGCAGTGCTTGTCAAGGGGAGACCAGCCCCAGCCCAAGGCATCCAGCATAGTTCAGGGTTATTCTGGGGCGCATTGAGCTTGGATCCTGAGTCACAACAAACTGACTGCCTTGCCCTGGGGTCAGCTGCATGCCCTGTGGACTGGGGCAACCTCTTGGTAGATTGGTCCTGGAGAGGAATCTTTGATGAGACCTGCTTTAGTGTTGCCTAGAACCAGGCTGCCTTTGCTGGCTCCAAGAATGAGAGGACTTGGTTATGGTGTTTGAGCCACGGCATTCATCCCAAATAGTGGGACAGGTGCAGGTCGCCCATTAGGGAGAAGATTTTCTTCTTGCTCACCCTGAATTCCTAGGACTTATCAGAATATGGCAACTTTAAAATTAATACTATATTTTAAAATGTTTAATTTTGACACTTCTGAAATCATTAGCTCTGAGATGATTTTTAGAGCACTTGCACCTTCTTTGTAAAGGATAATGATTTACTATTCCCTAAACACTGCATGTTACAGAAAGTATATTGTGTAGAATGGTTTTTCCTTTATTTCTTAGGAGATCCATGTTGAATGTGAAATTATTCCTGTGTCTACTTTGTATATAGAGTATGGAGTGCTCTGCTGTTCATAAAGAGCCACAACCAGTATGAAATAATCAGGTGTTCTATAAGAGTGTTTCATGTTTTTCTGAAATTACTTTAGTTTTTAAAATGGCTGAGTACACTGTAGAAAATTATCCTTCTCATCTACTTCATTTTTTAAATGACAAGTTAACTTCAGGAGGTTTTATTTATTGAAATAGCATGTCCATTTGTGCTGATTATTTTTTAATTGAAAAGAACAGCAAGAACATCACAGCTTGCATTTTTGCTTCTTCAAAATTGATTGATTTTTGCTTCTTCAAAATTTACTTTTTTCCTTTTTACTACTAGCAGTTTCAAAGTGTCATGAGGTTTAACAATATTATTCCTAAGTGTTACACATTTCATTGAACATATGAGGGCTGGTGTGTGAACCTCTGTATCTTTCTCTGACAGCAGAATCATATCCTTCCCCCAAAAAAACATGTTTCTAGAAAACTTTCTGATTGAATCAGGATCATTTTATTTCTCTTCTTTCCCCAATTACAGGATCTGTATCTTCAAGCTTTTTCCCTTTAAATCCTCCTCCCAACATAAATAGTGCTGAATCTTGTTGTGATGGCACCAGGACACTGCTTACAGGTCATGTCCAGATTGGCTTGTTTACTCTGTCTGTTGTCAACTATAGTCTCATCTGAAACTTATGATAGAATACCTGACAAGGTCCAAAGAAACCACACAAAAATGCAGTACGTGTCGCTTTGTCCTTTAGGGTAGCAGAATTTCTGTCTTTATGGAATAGTCACGGAAAATGCACTGAATGGAAGAAACTTTTTAAAATAATGTGTTAATTTTACTGAAGTAGGACAGCTGTCCTCACTGCAATTAAATAATTTTATGAAGTACATCTTCTGTGAACGTTATTAATCTAAGGTCAGGCTAGTATGATTTTAATGTGATCTAGATAAAGATAATTTTCAAGAAAATAGCAATCAATCTATTTTAAAGCCATACGATATTCAATTTATGTCCAGAACAAATAACTTGACCTTTTAACAACATACACATGAATGCTTTCTGAGGCACAAAAGTAGGCTAAGCTTTAACATTTCATACTGTAGTATTTATAACTCTTCTCAGAGGGAAGATTGATGCTCAGTGCAGATATGGAAGCTGAAGTACCAGGGATAAATAGTTTGAAATTCTGTATTTCCCCAGTGTCTTGCTGGGATAGCCTTCAGGTGTTACCAACTAGCCCCACACACGAAGGCGACCAGGTTGAATCTCCCAATTTGGGGGGACCGGTATGTGTGGTTAGGAATTAAAATAACATTAATCAATCTCCAGTTGTGATTACTATTTCTTCCATTGTTTGAGTGATTTATAATGTAGAGATGTTTTATTTGTAATTTTTTCAGTGAAATTTGTGTTGACTTGATAATACTGCTCATGTCATGAAGCACTTTAATAAAAGGAAAAATACACTGGAATTAGAAGTGAGGTCTTTAAATTCTTCACTACAAGGGAAGCTTGAAAATGACGTTGGCTATAGAAAAGATATAATAGGAGGTTAATATACAGCCCTAATTGCACTGTCTTATGACAAATTTCATTTCTTCGTGAGGGTGTAGGTGTCTAGAGGGTGTAAGCTGCAGCTCACTTGACTCAGCTCAGCTTGCTAGACTGGCTCGTCTCCTGAAATACTCTTATTCTAGCGCTAAGCTGATGGGACAGCCCCTACCTGGGCCAGGCTGCCTTCGTAGACAGGCAGGAGCAAGAAACAAAATATACAATATGGACACATTCAGAGTTCCTGTTTGCGTACTGCATAAGTCAAATTCTTATTATTCCACTGAACAAGCCTAATGCAGGGCCAGAGAAGTGCACTGTCCCACAGTGTGACAAGTGGAGTGACAATAATGCCTGGTCATGAATATCTGCTCCTGTCCTATCCATAAAATATGCACAGCCTCTTCTTGGGAAGACTCCAAAAGTCTTACCTAGTCATCATGTAAGACCTAAAGCTTTGGATTTCATCAGGTGTAGAGGTAATGTCTCTTGATCCTGAGACTTGTAAATTTAAAAACAGCAACAAGATATGTTAATTTGCTAAATTATAGTGACTGTTTCAAATGTATACATATACCAAAACATCATTGTACATTTTAAATTATATACTTTATGCCAAAGATATCTCAGTAAAGCTCTTTTTAAAAAGAAATAAAGGTAGCCAGGCATGGGGGCACACGCCTGTAATCCCAGCGCTTGGGAGGCTGAGGCAGGAGGATCATGATGAGTTTAAGGCCAGCATGGGCTAGCAAGTTCAAGGCTAGCCTACACTACATAATGAGATCCTGTCTCAATAAAATAAAATAAAGGTAGATAATTGTCTGCCCCTCCATACATACATAGATCTAAGCTACAACATAGAAGAGAGGAAAGATAGCCTCAATAACCCTGTCTCTGGAAGGGAAAAAAAGGCACATAGCAATCACTGCTCCGTAACAGTGCTGCTCAAATAAAATCTTGCTCCTCTGGGGATGAAAAGGTCTTTAGTCTGTGCTGTAGAATTAGCTCCTCACCCTTCAGCAACTTAGCAAGAACTTGTTCCAAAAAAGCTAGGGACAAGTTCTAAGAATGTAACCCAGTAGCAGTGCACTTGGCTGGCCTGCCTAAGACCCTAAGTCAATCCCCAAACCACAAACAAACAAAAAATAGCTAGGTATGGTGATGGATCTCTAATCCCTGAGCATACTGGGAAGCTGAAGCAGAAAGACTGCAAGTTCCACCCCAGCCCGGGCAATTTAGTGAGAGAGCCTGTCTCAAAAACAAAACAAAACAAAAAATCTATAGATATAGGTGATATAGATAGAATATAGATATCTAGGTCTGTAGCTCAGTGAATACGCCCTAGCTTTAAAACAAAGAGTAGCTCTTTTGCCAATAACCACAATTTTTTTTTTTTTTTTTTTTTTTTGTGGTACAGAAGATTAAATCCAGGGTCTTCCCAGTGAGCTACACCCCCAACACCTTTTTGAAAAAAAATTTTTTGGAGACATGGTCTCCCTACATTATTAAATTGCCCGAGTTGGGCACAAACTTGTGATCCTTCCAAGTGCTGGGATTGTAAGCATGTGCCACCATGCTTGCCAAGGCAATGTGTGTGTGTGTGTGTGTGTGTGTGTGTGTATGTGTGTAGAGTCCAGGCTGACCTTGAATTCACTCTGTAGCCCAGGCTGGTCTTAAACTCATAATCCTGCCTCAACTTCCTAAGTACTAGGATGACAGACATTAAGGCATGCAATGTCCTATATAGCCTTTTTGGCTCAAACATTTTTAAATTCTCTCTCAGAAGTTGGATCCAAAATGTTGTAACTGGGCCGGGGGTATAGCTCAGTGGCACGAGCACCTGTCTGGCAAGTGCAAGGTCCAGAGTTTGATTCCCGGTACAAAAAAAAAATGTCTAAAAATGTTGTAACTTCTGGGCATGGCGACACATGCTTGTATTCCCAGCACTCAGGAAGCTAAGGCAGGAGGATTGTTGTAAATTCGAGGCCAACTTGGGCTACATAGTGAATTCAAGGCCAGTCTGAACTGCATAGTGAGACCCTGTCTCAAAAAAAAAAAAAAATGTTGCAACTGTCAACTTTCTAAGTCCTGAAATTTCTATCTCTGCCTGTAAAGAGGCCAATTTTCTGAGAATCCCTTGATTATGTTTATTATTTAAAATGCAGGTAATGTTGACCAACTCATGCTACTCACATTCTGGTTTTTTTGTTGTTGTTTTGTATTTTTGGTACTGGGAATCTAACTCAGGACATCACACTTGCCAGGCAGGCACTGTGCCACTGAGCTATATCCCTGGCCCTCACATTCTGCCTTTAAACCTTCTCACCCACCATACTTTAGGTGTAAGTTATTGCTGCTAATGATTTTACCAAGTGTTTTGTCATTATATAACAGGCTGCCAATTTTCCAGCCTCCCTATGAGTTGTTCATGGGGCACTGGCCTTTAAACCAATCTCACATATTTTCAGGCTTTGTTATGATAATCACCCACTGTAGGTACCAGATTCAATATACTTTCCTCTAGCAACAAACAAGCCTAAAATATCAGTGGCTCACAAATATTTCTCTCTTTTAAGGACCTGTGCTATGACTCATAACTCACACGTGATTGGCCAAAGCAGCTCACAGGGACTGCCAGACACTGGTGCAGGACAGGATGGCCAGCCCTTTTTATTATACTATATTGGTTTGGGTTTTCTAGAGGCTCACTGTCTCTGTCTCTCTCTCTGTCTCTCTCTCTGTCTCTCTCTGTCTCTCTCTGTCTCTCTCTCTCTCTCTATACACACACACACACACACACACACACACACACACACACACACACATATGAGGCTGTATTGGATAAGCTTACAGGACCAGAGCAGGGCAAGTCTACAATGCTGTCTGAATGCTGATCAGCCAGGTGCTGCTCATCCGGAGAAAGGAAGCTGCAGAACAAGAGGGATGGAGGATGCTGAGTCACCCTAAAAGGAAAGGCCACGTTGCCCCCCGACAGCTGCCACCTCACGGTAATCATTCGCTGGCATGGGTCTGTGCCGACAAGCTGGAAAGGCTGGACAAAGGGTAGCATCCCGTCTGGGCTGCAAGTCTGTGGGGTGGTGCCACCCACAAGCAAGTTGGATCTCCCCACCTCAGTTTGCGGGCCTGCGCACCAGTCATCTCTGAAACACCACAGACACCCTCGGAGTGTGCTTTACCAACCTGACAGGTGGTCCTTGTATCAGCCCCGTCCACAATCACGGTTAAAGGTCACACATGCTCTTACAGAGGGGAAGTACATGATCAGGAACAAGCACATTTGCCGCAGTTGTATAGTACAATTTTTATTCAGAAACTAGAGATGGATGAAGAGGTTTAACTCTATTAGCAATTCTGAATCATCAGCAATACCTCGGGCCACTGCACTGCAAAAGAAAAACCTCCAACTACATTTCCCAAAATCCCTCACCCTGCTTGATTAAAATTTATTTTATTTATTTATTGTGTATTTTGTTTTTGAGACAGGGTCTCACTATGTAGTACAGGCTGGCCTTGAACTCACAGCCATCTTCCTGCCTCAGAGTAGGATTACAGATGTGTTCTACCACACCCTGCTTTTTTTTTGTTTTTGGTCTTTTTGAGGCAGGGTCTCGCTATGCAGTTCAGGCTGCCCTTGAGCTCACTTCATAGCCCAGGCTGGTCTCAAACTTGGAATGATCCTCCTGCCTCAGCCTCCCCAGTGCTGTGATTATAGGCACACCCTACAATACCTGGCTTCACATGCTGCTTTTGATTAAAATTTATTAACAGGGCTGGGGATGTAACTCAATGGCACAGCACCTGCCTGACAAGCGCAAGGCCCTGAGTTCAATTCCTGGTACCAAAAATGAAAATAGTAAAAAAAAAAAAAATTTAAAAAAAAAACCCTAAGAAGAAAAATTTATTAGCAGAAGGAATTTTAAAAATCTAGGATTGGGGAAAGGAGCCATTATCCTCAGAATGCAGTTGCTGCTAAGATATAGACATACATGAGTCATAGTGGATTTGCAGCAAGTGCTTGAGATGGGTGAGGAGACTTCCTCAGAGACTGTGGAGAAATTTCACAACTGCCCAGGAGCATTTGAGCAGCATCCATTTCAGTGCTTTATACTAAGATCTTCAGCTGTGGCCTTCTTGACCTTCCCAGTCCGTAGAAATGGAATCCTCCACCTAGCAAATTGTGTTACTAGTTTCTACTAGTTCATTGGAAGGAGCAGTTTGTGCTTATACTGTTTGATCAATTTTGCATGCCTGTACCTGGTAATCTGAGCAACTACTTTGAAGATAACATGCAATATAACAGCCATTGTTGATTTCCATGCATCTTGCTTTGAAATTCTGTATCATTTTTATTATTTTTAAATTCTCTTTAATAATAATCACTGGTATATAAAGGCAATGGTATAAACAAGTATTTTCATGATTTCTGTTTCTCTCTCAAGGAGTAGTAGTCTAAATTCTTTCCTCTACTCCCTTGTGTGTGAAAGAGAGAGACACAGAGAGGAGACTGGGGGTTGAACCTGGGGCCTCATTCATGCTAGTCAAGCCCTCTGCCACTAAGCCACATCCCCAGCCTTTTCTTCAGTGCTTTTGAGATGACCCATGTTCATAGTAAATAAGCTGAGATCAACAGTACAGCTGCGGTTCTTGGATGAAAATTATGCTGGTTCATATAATAATCAAATTTATGACCTTAGGCAGGGCGTGGTGCCCCACACTTGTAATCCCAGCATTCGGGAGGCTGAGGCAGGAGGATCGTTGCAAGTTTGAAACCAGCCTGGGCTACAAAGTGAGCTTAAGGCCAGCCTGCACTGCATAGTGAGACCCTGCCTCAAAAAGACAAAAAAAACAAAAACCTTACCACCTTGACCATTTCAGTACTGTAGTTAATGAGCTAAATTATAACCTTAACACCTAGGCTGGGTCAAGAATAAACTTTGCCACTCTTTCCACACTCTGAGGAGCTAGGTGCTAAATCTGTGTTTAGGATAGTGTTTGGGGGCAAACAAGGTCTTGCCATGATTTCAGAAATACTAGGCTGTGCTAATGAACAACCACTCTACTTGTAACATAGGTCCAGGCCAGGCTTTCCAATAACAGTGTGACAAGGGAATGTTTTCTACAGTGAAAGAATATTTTACAGTTACAGAATTTACCTTTATGTAACATTTGTGAAACAGCAGTTTCTACAGCAGCCGGCACTATTCTTACATGTGATTAATACTAATACATATTTTAATGCACACTTTATATGATGCTTTTCAACATGGGAAACAGCAAAAAAATACATGTTAGAGTAGAAGGCTACAGCATGATTATGCACACATTAAATATGGCCTTTGCCTGCTTCTGAACCTCCACCTGCTCTCTCATTTCTCTTAACCAACAAAACAAAGGGCTGGGAGGGTAGCTCAGGTGTGTGGTCCTGCTATGCACAGAGCCGTGGGTTTGCTCTTCAGCACTGAAAAACAACAATTTACCTGTTTGTCACCCTTACAATTTCACTACTCAACAATGACCATTTCTACAGGGGCATTTAACAATATAAAGAGATGTGTAAGGTCTGAACTGGGACAGGACAAGGGGGAGGTTAAAGCTCTGTCTACCTCGGCAGAGCATTGTAACAACATGCAAATACCTTTGGAAGTGTTCCTGTGGGCAAACGCAAAGAGAGACTGTTTGGAAAACACATGAATTGTCCCTACAGCCTGCTGTGGTGTTTTGGTTTGGATGAGTTCCCGTCAAAGGGCCAAGTGCACACATCTGTAATCCCAGCACGCTGGGAGCCTAAGGCAGGAAGATTGTAGTTTGAGCCCAGGCTGGGCTATGTAGAAGTTTAGCAAGATCTTGTCTCAAAAATATCTTACAAAATTTTAGCTCAATGTGAGGGTCCTGGGTTTAATCCCTCAATGCAGTGTGCACATGTGTACACACACATACACACAGAGTCCATGTGCTAAAGTTTTGGTCCCAGGATGGGGCCAGGGGAGGTCCTTGGGTTACTAGGGGATGACTCTAAGGGAACTGAGAGAGCCTAGCTCCTTTCTCTGTTTGCTTCCTGGTGCCTAAAGTAAACACTTTGCTCCGCCACACATGCCTGCTGTGATGCTGCCCTTGCCAGGGGCACAAAGCAATGGGCCGTTGGATCTTGGGCTGGAACCTCCAGAACCATGAGCCAGAATAAACGTTTTCTCTTTATAAGTTAATTGAGTATTTTGTTATAGTAATAGGAAGCTAACACATAGCCTGTGTTTTTACTTCTCTCCATTAGTGAAGCTTCAATACCGTCTGGTATTCTGTTAGAATTTCTTGCTGGAAAATTTATATAAAGTAAGACGTGAGCATCTCATGCCTTCAGATATCTTTTCTAGGTGACTCAATTTTTTAAAGGTTTGCCTATTCTTATATTTTCTTTAAAACATTAAACCTCTATGGAAATAATGTTGCAACGTTCCTATCTCTCCAAAATTCATATGCTGAAACCCTAACACTCAAGGTGACAGTCCACGCAGGTAGGGTCTTTGTACTGTGATCAGGTCATGAATGTAGTTAGTGCTGTGTAAAGGACACAGCAGGAAGGCCCTGTCTAGGGGCCAGAAAGCAGGTCCTCACCAGGCACTGAATTTAGATGTGGTTTAGATTTTTCAGCCTCCAGAACTTTGAGAAATCCATTTCTGTTGTTTATAAACTGCCTAGTTTTTGGCCTTTTGTTATAGCAGCTGAACAGACAAAGATGTATTTTCTTGAATTGGAAATACTGGAGTCCTCTGGGCCGGTCTCCACCCACTGCAGAATTCCTTGGGACTGGGGATATAGCTCAGCTGCATGGAGCCTGTCTGGCAAGCACAAGGCCCTGAGTTGGATTCCTGGTTCAAAGGATTCCTTGGACAGCATCCCCTGTGTGCCTGGTGAGCCTCTCCTGTCTTCAGTGGTAAGAGCCCTACTCCTGCCGGGCATAGTGGCGCATGCCTGTAATCCCAGCACTCAGGAGGCTGAGGCAGGAAGATCGTTGCAAGTTTGGGCTTGCAAAGTGAGCAAAGTGGGCTACAAAGTGAGCTCAAGGCCAGCCTGAACTGCATAGCGAGACCCTGTCTCAAACAATAACAACAACAACGAAAGAACCCTACTACTTCACAGTTTCATCAGTAGAAACTAAAATGTCTATAACAGAATTCTGTCAAGTTACATTATTATTTACACTGGAATAACCAGGAATACTTTGCTGTGAGTTGTACCTTCTTCCCACTGTAGGAACTTTCTTGGGGTTCTGTTACAGGTTACCAGGAAGGGAGTGTTTAAAGCAACGAAACTTATTTTCTCTCAGCCTGGAGAGGCAGAAGTCTGAAGTCACAAGGCCTGTACTCCTTCCAAAGGCTCTAGGATAGAATCCACACCTTGCCTCCTCCAGCCCATAGGGGTCTGGGACTTGCGTGGCTTTCGGTCTCACTCCAGCCTCACCTCCAAGTTCACATTGCTTCCTCCTCCTCTTAAGATCCTGCTACTTCTCCCTTACAAGAATCCTTATGACTGCACTTAGGGCCCAGCTGGATAATGCAGGATAACTCCTCCTTTCAGTGCCCTGAACTTAATCACATCTTTTGCCATGTCTGATAATACTCATTCTTTTTCATATAGGGCAGTAATCACAGAGCCGGGCATAGTGGTATATCCCTATAATCTCAGGACTCAGGAGGCTGCAGCAAGAAGATCACTGCAAGTTCAAGTTCAGCCTCACCTACATGGCGAGACACTATCTCAAAACAACAACAACAAAGGTAATAGTCACAGTTTCTGGCTATTAGAATATGGACATAATCTTTTCTGGAGCTGCCATTCAACCCATTACACCCACTAATGCTCATCAGAAACTTTAAAAATAGTAAACTGATTCATTAACTCTTCTCTGTTATTAGAGGTAGAAGGCAAGTCCCAGGAGTTTTTGGGTTTTGTTTTTTTTTAAAAATGCTTGCAGCTACAGGTATAGTCAAAGGAGAGTCAAGCAAAGAAAAATCTTCAGGCCTGGGTAGGATGATATGTCATTAGGAAACAGGTGTCAGACTGAAGGACACACTTAAGGATTTATTGGTATTTTGTTAAGATACACATAAACATTCAGAAAATACAAAAATACACAATGACAAATGTAATCTCCTCTCATCTAGATTCCCATCTTGTTCTCCAGAAGTAAACACTATCAATGTACTTTTTATCCTATCAGAAAATTCCCATGATACCCATTCATTCCATCTTCTCCCAAACCAACATTTTTTTTTTTCCACACAATATACTTTTTTTTTCTTGATTTGGGGTCTCACTGCTGGGCTTGACCCACTATGTTTTACACTCTGGGCTCAAACACATCAATCTGCCTGCCTCAGCCTCCTGAGCGCACCACCATGCCTGGCTAATATATTCTATTCTGTACTCCATGTTATCATTTATCTTAGAGCTCTTTCCATATTAATGTGGCTTATATGACTATAAATTATGATTATACTGTTTAAAATGTTATAATTATTTAATAATTAACTACTTCTTCACAAAGACTGCCTTTAAGTATTTTTATCAGCTACAAGGGCATAGATGAGGGGCCATGGACATAGCTCAGCAGCGCAGCACCTGCCTGGCACACACAAGGTCTTGAGTTCAATTCCTGGTACCCCCCAAAAAAAAGTACGGATGGGAAGAATGGGTTGTGTGTGTGTGTGCATACTGCAGCAGGGATAAGATTGTGTGAGATTCTCTCAGTTCCCATAGCAATAGATCAACGCAGCCATAAATAATTTCTTCCCAGAAGTGTGGTTGTGCGGACTTTCAAGTCCTATAAAGAGAAGAAGATTCTAAGTGTGCTGTGGGGAGGTGTGCAGGCCATTCGCTGCTTTAGAAGTGAGCCAGATTTAAATTTCAAAGTCCTAAGGATTTAAAATCTTTTATTTTATGAAAAAGAAGAAAAGTCTTTGTAAGGAACTGCAAGAGTGTGAAAGTCACCCTGCCTCTGCTCAAACACCTTGGGAGATGGTGACTTCCGTACGAAGGAGATAGCGCCATCTGTCTTCCTGCCTCCAAATGCAAACACGGGTTTGAACGTTCTGTCACTTTTTGTTCAGATGCTTAATGGAGCTGGCAGGACAAAGCCATGTGGAAGCCTGTGAAAATATGGCTTTGTCACCACAGTGTATTTCACCCAGAAAGGCGCAGCATAATGGCCCAGACTCCGGGTACCCAGCCTGTGAGCCGTTACCTCTATGAACTGTGTGATGCACAGCGCATTGTTCAGTCTCTCTGTGCTTCAGGTCGCCCATCTCTAAAAGGGCAAAATACAACTTACTTTACCTTTTGTGGTTTTTTTTTTTTAGGTCCTCTATGGTTCTGAAGATTAAACAGGTTGATGCGTACATGGTACTTAGAACAATGCTGACAGAACGTGAGCGTATCTATCAGTCAGGGCTTACTAGAGAAACAGATGTAATGCAAGATATACAAATACATAAGAATTTTTTAAAAAAACAAATGTACAAGAATTTATAAGATTAGTTTACAGTGGCCACCCATGGAGTCAGGTGTAGAAGAGTGTAAAAGGTCTATCTGCACACTGGAGAGCTGAAAGATCCAGCCAAAGGCCTGGAGCTCACTGCGGTGTCTCCTGCAAGTCCCTATTAAGAAGCCAGACGTGGTGGTGCACCCTTGTAATCCCAGCACTTGGGAGGCTGAGGCAGGACGATCACTTTGAGTTTGAGGCCAACCTGAATTGCATAGTGAAACCCTGTCTCCAAAAAAAAAAGTCTCTATCAGGAAGCAGAAGGATCTGTGCTGGAAGCCAGGAGATGATGTTCAAAGTGAAGGTGAAGACTGGAGCTCCTTCCTTTTCATTTCCTGTTTATACCCTTCTGGCGACAATTTTCCCTAGGGTGGGTCTTCCACACTCAGAACTATGCTGAGTCAATTTAGTTGGGCGTTTCTTACTCAAGGTCACACAATCAGTTAACTATCACAAACCATCCCTGGTGAACTTGATAACCAGACACATTCCTTTAAACTGTAGTCTCCAGATACAAAGACAAATTCATAATTTTGCCTAACATTTTGTAACTATCCTGCATACAAACAGAACACACTACTTCCTTCCCCAGAACGGAAGGCAAGTTTTCTTCGGGTGAGGCTTACTCCTAACATTTCATAACTTGACCGCTATAACATAGGTTTAACAATACTAAAGAACCAGTGTTAAGGGGCCAGGATATAGCTGTGTGGCACAGCGCCTGCCTGGTAAGCACAAGGTCCTGAGTTCAATTCCCAGTACAAAACAAAACAAAGCAAAACCAATATGAAGTCTATCAATGTGACTTTACATTGAAAGCATATTAGGCGAGAACTATTACAATTACAATTCTCATTTCTGTAGCTGATCACAGGAGTTGGTATTTAGAACTACCTTGTACTACTCATTCTGTGTTCCCTTGCCCTGAACTTAATCACATCTTTTGCCATATCTGATAATACTCATTCTTTTTCATATAGGGCAGTACCTCAGCAAGTACCTCAGCAGGTCTTGGTTCTTTCCCTGCTGGGGGGACCCATACCTTCATTCCTGAAGTTTCTGAACCTTTTGTCATTTTCCCTGGATTGGATTGTTACAGTTTTTGTTTGACTTTATTTATTTATTTAGGTCTTTTTGAGACAGGGTCTGACTATGCAGTCCAGACTGGCCTTCAACTCACTTTGTAGCCCAGGTTGGCCTTCAACTCAAAATCCTCCTGCTTCAGCCTCACAAGTGCTGGGATTATAGGCGTGCATCACCACACCCAGTTCCATTGACTTTTTTTTTTTTTTTTTTGTCTTTTTGAGACAGGGTCTTGCTATGCAATTCAGGCTGGCCTTGAGCTCACTTTGTAGCCCAGGCTGGTCTTGAATTTACAGTGATCCTCCTGTCTCAGCTCCCGAGTGCTGGGATTACAGGCATGTGCCACCAGGGGGAAGGAAAAGAACCACTAGAGTAAAAAAGAGAAAACAGGGATTTTTAGGTGTGATTTCCAAGAAAGATAGGGATAGAATTTTCTAAATTTGGACATTCTAAAAATGCATGCTTCAATTCTGGTAACTTTTTTTTTTAAGAACAGTACAGTTAGCTTTCCTATTCATAGAGAAGACATAGGGATGTGTGTTCACAAACAGCTAAAATTAACTAGTGCTATTCTGAAGTGATGTTGAACAGTTATCTAAATTTAACAGTTCCTTCGAGTTTATGTAGGAAGATTTATTTGGTTCTTGTGGAGAAACACATCTATCTTAAGCCCTAACTATTAAAGAATTTGAACCCAGGTCCTTGCAGAGCCTTGTACCTGCTAGGCAAGTGCTCTCCACTGAGCTGCACCCCCAAGCCCTAAATGATTCTTGAGTGGCCTGGAATTTAAAATAAATGCATGTGCACAGAGCCTGGTGGCTCAGGCCAACTTAGCACCCTGGGAGGCTGAGTCAGGAGCATCACAAGCTTAAACCTACCCTGGACAACTTAGCAAGACTCTGTCTTATAAATAAAAAATGGGCTTAGTGTGAAAACCCTGAGTACCAGCCACAGTGATTTAAAAAAAAAAAAAAAAAGGAAAGAAAAGAAAAAGGTGCATGGCAGATTTGGTGAGTTAAGCCATCTTGCAAATCTGGCCCTGGCCTTCGACAGCGTCTTACTAACCAAATCTGCCTTCAGCAGCTTCTGACCTCCTGCAGGGGCCAGGCTGAAGCCTTCTCCAGTGCAAAGGCGACAGTCCATCTGGTCAAAGAACAGCCCTGCCACTGCAGTTGTGCAGATCGGTAGGCCATTTTACGCCCCGTCTGTTCTCAGCAAAGCACACTGGTATCTTTTAAAGCATGTTTACTGGAAGACTTTAAATCACAAACCACTGTCACTGTCATGCTATCGTATCACCTTCATGGAAACCAGAATGAAAAAGAGCTGCTGCTAATCACACAACTAATAAATAATGAGGTCAAGACTTGAATGTACAACTTTGTTCCTTGAGTCCAGGACCAAAGGATAATCCCAGGATTCTTCCAGGATAATCTAGTGGTTAACAGCATAGCTGGACAGGCAGTGGGGCTCTGACTTTGCCAGACAGGTCACTCTCTGACCTCTGGGGAAGGCAGAAAAGGGGCAGGGACTTCCGCTCTGGCTATAGTGAAGTGATAACGCCATGACATAGACAAAGCAGATTGCCTGATGGAGGTGCTCCCTTAATGTCACCTGCCCTTTGCAGTGTTGAAAGATTAAAATTTAGCCTGGCGTGGTGGTGCACGCCCGTAATCCCCCAATTTGGAAGGCTAAGACAGAAGGAGAGCCATGAATTCAAGACTAGCCTGGGCTACATAGCGAGACCTTGTCTCAAAAAGAAAGAAAGAAAAAGAAGAAAGATGAAAGTCTGGTCTCACACAAGGAGGATCTCACAGGCCGGATTCCTACAAGTGAACTCCCAAAGGATACCCAGGCCTGAGTGACAGACTCATCACTCACAGGGACAGGCTTGTGGGGCGGAGAGGATGAGGGGCAGGGCACTGGGAGGGCAGAGGCCCCACCGATGGTGGAGCCTGGGAGGAAGGGAGGTGACACAGGGGCAGGTGCCCTGGTGCAGGGAAAGGCAGGGGCTGAGGAGGGAACTCAAACAGGTCGTTCTTCACCATAGACGTTGTGTCATCCCGCGAGGGATCACGGGTGTCACTAGGCAAGGGCCTGTAAGGGTCAGCGGGGAGAAGAGTGTGGGCCTGAAGACCGGATTTGAGATCAGCTGTCACTTGGAATGCACAGGAGGCAGACAGGCACGCGCTGCGGTTAGACGGAGGATGCCCCCCCGGGCCTCGTGCATCGTAGGCAGGGCTTTGCGGGCGACTGAGTCATAGAGGCAAGACAGCTGACTGGCTTTGGGAGGCAGGGTCCGGTCAGAAGACGGGGTCACTGGGGTGTGACTGGAAGTGTTTATCTCCCTTCCTGGCTCCTCCTCCTCTCTGAGTCCTGGCCACCATGCCTGAGAGGATTTCCTCCACCCAGGGCCTCGTCATGCTCTTCTCCTGCCAACCATGCACTGAAACCTGGGCCAAAATAAACCTTCTCCTGCAAACTGCAGGTGTCAGGTTCTGTGTCTCAGTGACAAAGCACGTGGTGACTGAGGTCTGGATGAACATGGAGCACAGTGCACATCCCAGAAACAAGGGGGAGATGGAAATGCCACAGACTGAGTGTGTCCCCTAGAGTTCAGGTGTTGGACGCTTAGTGCTTTGTGTGGCAGATTAAGATGTGATAGAACCTTTAGGAGGTGGGGCCTCATGGGAGTTGGTTCACTCATTGGGGGCACTGACCTTGGAAGGGATAAGATAGTTCTCATGGGACCCAGAATTAGTTCTCTTAAGAATAGGTGCTATAAACTGGGCATGGTGGTGGTACATGTTTGTAATCCCAGTACTAGGGAGGCTGAGGCAGGGAGATTGTTGTGAGTTTGAAACCAGCCTGAGCTACAAAG